AAGCAGGAGCAGCTTCGCCAGCGCCGTGGCGCAGGAGCAGCCAGCCACCACCGTGCCGTTGGGCGCCACGGCCTCGCTGAGGCAGGAGCCTATGCGCGCCCGACGCGGCGCCAGGTAGGTGACGCAGAGGGCCCTGAGGAACCCCAGGTCGAAGCCCCAGGCCCGCGCCGCCACCTTGAGCTCGGCGTGACCGATATGCTCGTAGTACTTCTGCAAGTCCATGTAGATGGATGCGGCCTCCTCCTGCACGTGCTTGGCATGGGCCACGAACGCGTTGTGGAGCCAGGCCGCCTTGTCACATCCTCTCGAGGCCGAGGTCCCCCAAAATGGGGTTTGCTCCAGCGACCTCTCCCATTTGGCTGTGTAGCCCTGGCGTACTCTTGACCAAATCCTGGCAAGCAGCGGCATGAGGCCAATGGGCCGCTGCCCTCCATCTGGCCTCGGCAAGAAGACCATGATCACGGTCCACGTCTCGCCGCAGTATGGTGCACGCTCCCAGGAGTTGAGCAGACTGGCGAGTCTGGCCAGGATGTCCTCTCCCACCTCCAGCAGCAAGCGCGGGTGGAAATTGTCCCAGCCAAGGCCCGTGTTCCTGGGGAACTTGCGCGCCACGAGCTTGATGTCGTCAACTGTGATCGGCGGCAGCACCCACTCGCCGACGGCCCATAGGCCTGGGTGCTCCTGGTCGCTCCGACTGGGGTCTGACCAGAAGGGGGCCAGTCGGCAAGCACCCTCTCCAGAGCAGGCTGGCCCACCAGAGCGTGGTCCACCGTGCCTGCCTCGAGGACGGGGCTGGGCTTTCCATGGGTCTTCTTGATAACCTTGTGGGCCAGCGAACCTTGACGTTCGAAGGCTTGCTCCGAGAAGTCGTCCCACTTAAGTCTGCTGGCCTTGGCATCCTCCTTGGTGTGCTTGGCCACCACCTGCTCCATCACCAGTAGGAACTTGTAGCCTAACTCAGACTGGAGGCCCATCTCGTCCCAGAAATTTGAGAAGACCGTGCCATCGAACATCTTGATGGACTGCTCCGGAAACTTGACTTTCAAGCGACTGGCTGCCTCGAAAAGCTGCTGCGCTCTCCTGGCCCTGTAGCCGCCAGGTAGGTCGTTAACCGATAGGTCCCAAGTCCCACCTTCTCTTGGAAAGGTGGCGCAGCGAAAGCCAGAGGTAGGTGACCGCTGATGCCTTTTCAAACCGGTTCTCCTGCACCTTGGCCTCCAGAGGAACCGAAACCGTCCTGGGGCCCTTGGACCTGCCCTTGTAGTACTTTGCCTCGCTGCTGGGCATCCCGTGCAAAGTCTGCAGTGCCTCCTCGGCTTGATCAAACCAGCCCTTGACTACTCCCTCCAAGCCTGGGCCAGGCGGTGGCCAGGGGAGGGTGGCCACTAGCAGGTCGCGCTTGGTCCTGGCCCCCTCGTCGGCCTCGAACTCCAGATCGAAGCCTTACGGCGCGCGCTGCGTCTGAATCATGGGCCGCTTCCAGCATCCCCTAGCACGAGCGACACGACCTGGTGCGGTCCGCTGGGGGTGTCCGTGTGGCACTTGATGGAGTCCACCAGGTCCTCCAGCGCCCTCGAGATGACGAAATAGTCGTACTCGTTATCTTTGCATGTGGCTAACCCAGGGGCCAGGACCGCTCCTCCCATGAGCTCAGGCCAACCTGAGGTTGCCAGTTCGCTGGCCTCGGTGCTCCAATCGCCTTCGATGATGAAGGGCTCGTCCAGGTGCGCGCACCACTCGTGGATGTCGTTCAGCAGCTGCCTGTTGGGCCCCTGGAGCCCTATCGTGTCCTCGAGGTACACCGAGATCATGGCAATCCTTGTGCCCTCGCCCACGGAGACTCGACGAGCTAAGAAACGAGGTGGGGCCCCATCCCAGTGCTGGAGGTATCTCGCCGAGCCCAGCAGCGTCGAGGAGACAATGGCAACTCCTGACGAGACTGCCGTGGCGGCCTCTCCAGTCCCCAGGACCCCTGAGGCAGCTAGTTGATGGCCTCCTCTGCTTGCCCAACCATGGGCCTGCTCCACCGCCGCCTGCGAGGTGAAGCGCGTCTCCTGGATGAGCATCACGTGCGGTACCATGCCATTCTTCATCATCCAACCGTGGACACTGGAGGCCGTGTTGCACGTGTTGCCGTTGTAGGTGCACACTATAAGCTTGCCCTCGAGCTGTCCATGCGCCAGCACCAGAGCGCCCTGGTCGGGAATCAGGCGGTTCAGCTGCAGCACCCTCCGTCCGCCACTCCCAGTTGCCAACGTGGGACTCCGTGTACCTCCGTGTCGTTCATGTGGCAGAGCCTCGCCTGGCTGGCCAGAGCCGTGGCCATTGCTTCCTCCCGCTGCCGCGGGCGTCGACCACCCCCCCGTCGGGGGCCGTGGCAGAGGGGCACCTGGAGGGGGAGGCAACTGTCCGCGCGTCCGCGGCTCCCTGACTCCAGTTTGAAGCGTGCCAGGTCGACCGTTGCTGGCCAAGGCCGTGCCGTGGCCCGAAAGCTTCAGCTCCACGGTCGGCGAGTCCGAAGACGCAACCAGCCCTGTCCTCGCAGAGGCCGAACCCGAGGTCGCCCTCCAGGAGCTCCAGGTAACTCTATGTCGCTCATGTGGCGGGGCCTCCCCCCTCTGGGCATCGCCGTGGTCGGCGCCACCTCCCACTGCCGCGGGCATCGACCGCCCCCCCGTCGGGGGCCGCGGCAGCGGGGCACCTGGAGGGGGGGGCTGCAGTCCGCGCGTCCACGGCTCCCTCACCCCAGTTTGTAGCGGACCAGGCCGCCCGTTGCTGGGAGAGGCCGAGCCCCTCACCGAAGACGCCGTCCGATCGGTCGCCGAGCCCGACGATGTCATCCATCCCGAAGTGCCAGGGGTCGTCCCAGAAGTCGCCCTCCTAGAACTCCAGGTGCCTCTGTGTCGCTCATGTGGCGGGGCCCCTCCCGCCTGGTCGGTGCCATGGTCTACGCTTCCTCCCACTGCCGCGGGCAACGACCACCCCCCCGTCGGGGGCCGTGACAGCGGGGCACCTGGAGGGGGGGCTGCGATCCGCGCGTCCGCGGCTCCCATACTCCAGTTTAAAGCGGTCCAGGCCGGCCGTTGCTGGGAGGGGCCGTGCCCGACGCCGAACTCGCCGTCCAAAAGGTCACCCACCGAGAAGGCGTGGCCGAAATGGTTGGACGCGAGGGCGCGGGGGTGTGACGGCAGGGGGCTGAATCCCCTTTCCCCGGGCCCAACTGAGCCTCAGGGCCCACGCGGCTACCCGCGGGGCTTAGCGCCATCAGCAGCAGGAGCAGGCCCTGGAGAAGCCTGGCCGCAGGCCTTCGGCTCGGCACGCTGGCGGGCGAGCTCAGATGCCGAGGCGCCGAGCTTCGCCGCGTTGCGGCGGATCTGCTCCGCCGCGGCATCGCATGCTGCGGGTGCCGCTGCAGCCGCTGGTTCCCGCTGTTCCCCTGCGGGGCCCCCGCCAGCTGGCGGGGTCGCGGGGGCCGCTGGCGGCTCGGATGCGGCCGCAGAGGTGGCTTGGCCCTCCTCAGAGGTGTCGTCGCCGAGCTTGCGCTTCTCCTTGATCGCCTCCTCGGCCTCCTGCTTGATGCGCCGCAGTTGCTCGTGGCACTGCTTTTCGAAGTTCTGCTGAGCCACCCGCATGATGTCGTGGCCTTCCGCGCAGAGGCGCCTGAGGTTCGCCCGCGCCTCCTCCTCCAACTCGCCGAAGTTCTCGAGGGACTCGTCTTCGAAGTTGAAGGTGAGCTGCTTGTGAACCTCCAGGACGGGCGCTCCGACTCCCGACGCTTGCGCCCGTCGGCGAAGGAGCTGGGCCTCCTCTGCCTGCGCTTCGGCGAGGTGGAGCGCACATGTGTCGCGCCAGTCGCGGCAGTCGACCAGCTGCGCCTCCGCCGCAGCCATGGCGTCGGCGGCTTCATCGAGCTGGCGCTGGAAATTGACACGGCGGTCCGTGGCCGACTGCAGCTGCTGCTCCAGGGTCCTCTCCGTAGCCGCTGGCGAGGGCGGCTTGTAGCCCCTCGCAGCCTCCACCGCCTCACGGAGCCGCGCGGTGATGTCGGGGTCGGGAATGGCCAGCAGCTGGTCGAGCTCCGTCTGCGACGCAGTCGACCAGGGCGCGTGAGGGAAGCTGGTGCGAGCCCCGTGTCCTGAGGTCGCTCCCCCTTTGCCGCCTCCAGGCTCCGCGCCGTTGCCGCCCTTGCCCTTTTTGCCTCCCTTCGGCTGGGCCTTGCCACCGCTCCCTTTCTGCTCTCCGCCATCTGCCCAGACACCGTGACGCGGAGACAGCTTGGCAGGTGGGAGCTCCAGGCATTGGCCGCACTGCCAACAGGTCGGATTCTTGCGGAAGTTCCATCTGTAGCGGCAGCCCGTGCAGATGACAAAGCCAGGCTGGGCCTTCTTCGGCGCCATTGCGAGCACGAGGGTACCCAAGCCTGCACAGTCGCGGGGCGGCGACAGGCAGCAGTCGGCGGGGGCGGACCCGTCGACTGGAACAAAACTGTCGGGCTGAGGAGCCCTGGCACTGGCCGCGGACTAGCGGTATCCACGTGTTCCCCTGTGGAACAAACCATCTTGAGCCAAAATGGCTACGGAGGAGGAGGAGGAAGAGGAGGAGGAGGAGGAGCAGGAGGAGGAGGAGGAGGAGGATGCAGGAGGGGGATTAGGGAGGAGGGGGAGGAGGAAGGAGGAGGAGGAGGGAGGAGGAGGAGGAGGAGAAGGATGGGGACGAGGAGGAGGAGGATGTGAAAGATAGGGGAGGAGGGGAGGAGGAGGAGGAGGAGGAGGAGGAGGAGGAGGAGGAGGAGGAGGAGGAGGAGGAGGAGGAGGAGGAGGAGGAGGAGGAGGAGGAGGAGAGGAGGAGGAGGAGGTGAAGGATAGGGGAGGAGGAGGAGGAGGTGAAGGATAGGGGAGGAGGAGGAGGAGGAGGAGGAGGAGGAGGAGGAGGAGGAGGAGGAGGAGGAGGAGGAGGAGGAGGAAGAAAAATGGGAGGGCGGATCCACCCCACCCCCGGGTCCGACAGGATCTCCAAGCGCGGTGTGCGGCGCGAGAGCATCCCGAGGCAGAAGGTGACGCCGCCCATGGACAGCAACGTGCCGAGCACGACGCCGGCCACGTGGAAGACGCCCTCCCCTGCTCTCTGGGCAAATTTCTTCATGGCCTGAGTGCGCCGCCTTTCTCTCTTCTTCCGCGTTTTTTTCGAATGTGTTCGGCGTCTTCCGTAAGTTTTGACGCGCCCCAGGATTGGTCCAGGGGCCGAATTTTAACAGGCGGACCCAGTGCTCGATGGTCTATTGCGGGGTCCTTTAGAGGCAGCCCGTGTCCTTGTGCAAACTTTGCTTTGCAACGCCCCCGCGTAGTCTGCGGACGCGGTGCGCGTTCGCCGCCGCAGCGACCCCAACCAGTCATTCGGGCAGCTCTCTCCCCGCCGCCTTTCTCCACGGCCGTTCTCCAAATTTCCGACATGTGAGCGACGAAAAGAAACGGGTTCTACGCGAGACGACACAGCGACCTTGCGCGGTGGCTTGTGCGGGCCGCCGGCGCGGCACGCCACGCGGGGGCGAGGGCGCTTACGGGCGCCCTTCCGCGGACAGCTCACGCGCGAATGCCGGCGAAGACGACCCCGTTTTGTTCTGTGCCGCTCGTGTGCCGGTGCGCAGCCGGCTCCTCTGCGCCCCGGCTGCTGCTGCCGAGCGCTTCCGTGCCCCACGCCGCCGCGGACCCAAAGGAGTGCTCCGGGCAGTGCTGGGGGGGGTCACCACCAGAAAGGCCGCCGCCGCCTCCTGGGAAGGCTGAGCACTGGGGAGGAGGGCAGGATCGGCCATCGGGCAGGCTTTGGGCCTCTCCGGGCGCCCTGGGGGGCTCCAGGCCCAGACACCCGCCTGCTCCAGTTTCTTTGGTGCGTGGGCCCAGGAGGTCTGGACCAATTCCCCGGGACCGGGTTTTCGTCATGAGTTGTTTTTGGTGCTCCCGAGGCCCGGCGAGGGCCCCTGGAGGCCGAAACCTGCCAAAAACCGCCTGCTCCAATTTTTTTTGGAGCGCCGGATCTCAGGGTGGGGGGGAGTTCTTGGCATGGCAAGAGAGCAGCCCGCGGCAAGCGTTAGGTCGGCCGAGTCCCCCTACAGTTATGATGCTCCAACCTACTTTAGCCTTGATCACCAGAAAGAGTTTCGAGCGCCCCAAAAAAGTACCGAAACTCAAGGGTTTTCACGTGTCCGGCCCTGGGAGACACTCGCCCGACACTGTTTCGACACTGTTTCGACGCTCTTTCGACACTTTTCCGGGTGCTCGAAATTATTTCTGGGATGTGGTCCTTAAGTCGGATGGGAACAACATAACCCTACAGGGGGATTTTGGGCGAAAAATTAACAATACCCCAACAGTACACCCCAAATGCCAAAAAATACCCCCCAAAAACGTCCCCAGACTATTTTTTGGCTATTTTTGAATATTCTCCCTGTAGAGGGACAGGCCCGACTTCAGGCGAGAGACCGGTCTAGAGGGTGATGTCGAGAGTCCCGGGGGCCCGCGCTGCCGCGCAGGTCCTCGGAGAAACAAGAGCGGGAGCAAGAACAAAAGCACGACGACGGGGCCTCCTGGTGCTGCATCAATCGGGTCGGTCGAACCAGAGCCCCATCAATGGAGGCCTGCAGAGGCCCCACCAGGGCCAAAAACATTCAGAAACCTTAAAAACAAATCGTTCAGATATCTCCGTCCTCGATCCTCGAAGGCAACCTTCTGGGGGGGGCCCAGCGCGTGTGACTGGTGTGCCGGAATGGGCGGGGAGACGCATGCAGTCTTTCCCACTGAGGCCCTAGGTGGAGCTCCTGTAAGGAGAACGAAGTGTGCGAGGGGTGTGCCGAGATGGGGAGAGGGACGCATGCAAGCTTTCCCGATGGGCCGTAGGTAGAGCCCCCTGCGAGTCACGAAACGTGCGAGGGGTGTGCCGAGCTAGCAAGCTTTCCCACCGAGGCCGCAGGTGATGCCCCCTAAGCTCCACGAAACGCGTGAGGGCTGTGCCAGAATGGGAATCGTGGCAGTTCTTTTCGGGAGTGGCCAAGAGGAGGGTGTCCAAGAGGGGGGGGTGCAAATCATGACTGGCGGCATGTGCGCGGCCCAGCGGGGGGCCAGGGACGTAATTAAATAAGAAGGGGCGCCATGAAATTTGGGGAAATATCATAGCCCCCGCCATGATATCCACCCCCCCTAGTCATCACCCCCCTCTTTGCCGCCCCCGATCTTTGGGGGGTGCGGAGTCGAACGGGTCGATGCCGCGCCGTCGGAACGCCTCTTCGAGCCGACCGGGCCGCGGTCAGCCCCGCGCTGCTCCTCGCCCAGCGGCTCCTGGTGCTCCTCCTCCGCCTCCTCCTCCTTCTCCCCTGCTTTGCAGACCAAGTGAGAGAGAAAGAGAGAGAGAGAGAGAGAAAGAGAAAGAGAGAGAGAGAGAGAGAAAGGGAGAGAGAATGACAAACACGCTCACGCGTCTCTCTCTCTCTCTATATCTCGCTCTCTCTCTCTCTCTCCCTCTCGTTTTTTTGTTTTGTTGGTATTTTTGTATTTTTTGTTTTTGTGTTATATATATATATACGCACACTTATATTCAATGCATGCACATACTACCATGCAGCTGCATCTATATATAAACGTATATGTTTACACATCTTTTTTGCATCATTTAATGTGTATATATACAGCCAACCACACAAACACATAACTAGGTCGACCTATTCTAATATTCGTGTACAATATACGCATAAGTGTATATACACATATTAGATATATACGTACGCATGTGGAAGTGTAGGTATGTGAGTGTATCCATGTAAATCGATGTGTCCACCACCGAGACACGAGTTGGAATGTCCCCGAGTCCCTTCAAATGCTAGGCATTTCGGATTGTAAATGTACTGTAAGGGCCGGGGGCCAATACTTCCAAATCTTCTGGGCGCTCTTTGGCGCTAGTGGGGACGGTCACGTGGATTTTCCAGATGCCAGAATTCGTCAAGACGGGTCAAGATGGCCCCAAGACGGTCCAAGATGGACCCGCGTCGAGCAAAGATCCTCCCATGACGTCCGATATGGCCCCACGACGACCCAAGAAGCAGCCAAGACGGCACCGAGATGCCAACATCATTGGTTCCTCTTGAATGTTTGACAGATGTCGGTGCTCTCGCATTTTCGGGTTTTTGACGCTACAAGATGGTGCAAATGTCTTTACACATCGCCCCAAGGGGGCCCCAACACAGCACCCATACGGTCCAAGATGGCCCCCAAACGGCCCAACAACCCAACACGATCGCCCAAAAAGGTTCCAAAAAGCCAAAGAGAGGCTCAGAGGGAGCACGCCAACCGATATTTCGAGAGCTTCGCCCCAAGATGACCCCCGGGACCGCCAGCAGGCCCCCAAGAAACCCAATCCAGGCACCAAATCGCCCCCGAAAGGCCCTCCAGGCACCCCCAGAAACCGGATCCAAGAGGCTCCTGGGAGACATGACGTCCCCACTCGTATATCAAAGGCGTCTGACCTACGACCAAGGAGAGATGGCGGGATGGGCCGAAGGCCACTCGATACAACGAGCTGGACAGATTCAAACAAAGATACATGTGGATACCGATGTGTGTGTGTGTGTGTGTGTGCGTGTGTGCGTCCAAATTTGCAGATTTCGTGTATAATTATGTGCGTACAGACAGACATATATATATATATACACACATACACTAGAACCATCACGCGCGCTTCGCGCGCGCCCAGGTTCTAGCAGGCCCCAGGCCTTGACGAATTCATTGCTCCACTGAAATAGTGGACCACAGTCCACGCATGCCAATCTGCATTCCGAGAGGCCTTCGAGGAAAATGGTTGTGTAGGGGGGCGGAGGACGTATGAATCGGGTTCCCAGAAGGCCTTCTGGGAGCATGGGTTTGGGGGCGTCTTGGGGAGCCTGTTGGGGCGTGCCGTCGTCGTCGTCGTCGTCGTCGTCGTCGTCGTCGTCGTCGTAATGTCGTCGTCGCCTATTGGGGCGCGCCGTCGTCGTCGTCGTCGTCGTCGTCGTCGTCGTCGTCGTCGTCGTCGTCGTCGTCGTCATCTTCGTCGTTTCGTCGTCGGTTCAAGAGGGCACTTGGGGCAACTTTGTGCGAAACGATCTGCGGAGGGCCGCGAGAAGGCGATCAATCATGTTCCCAATCAACTTCCCAGACAGCTCTCCTGTAGCATGATGGTACTTCGAAGCCTCCGGAGACTCGCGGGCCCATGATGAACCATGTCCCCGGAAGGCTTTCTGGGGACATGATTTGTCGGGGTGTGTTGGGGAGTCTCTTGGGCGTTCCCTGGGGGCCCCTTGGGGGCCTCCGGGAACTCTCGGCCCCATGATGAACCATGTCCCTGGAAGGTTTTCTGGGGACATGATTTCTTAGGGTGTGTTGGAGGGTCTCTTGGGCGTTCCCTGGGAGCCCCTTGGGGGTCTCTGGGGCTTCCTGGGGGCCTCTTGGGCGCCTCACGGGGCTTCGTGGGAGCCTCTTGGTGGCCTCCGGGGGCCTCCAGGCGGCCTCTAGGGCCAGAGACCTCGAAACATCGGTTGGCGGTCCCCCTCTGGGCCCTCTCTTGGGGAGCTCTTGGGGCACAGTTGGGTTGTCTGGGGAGCCTCATGGGCCGTCTTGGGGCCCTCTTCGGTGCCTCGTGGTCCGTCTTGCAGCGATCTGAAGGGCCTCCGAGCGAGGCCGTGAAGGAGCGCTGGGAAGCGGGGGAAGCAAGAACGCCTAAATCCGTCAGAAACCATCGGAACATTAGTGAATCTTGCCTCCCAGGGCCCTCTTGGGGAGCCTCTCGAGTCCGTCCTGGAGCGTGTTGGAGTCCTCGTCGGCCGTCTTGAGGGCAGCTTGGGCGTCTTCGGGGCCTCGAGCATCCTGGGCCGTCTTGGGGCCCTCGTCGGGGCCTCGTGGGCCTTCTTGGAGCGATCTGAAGGGCCTCCGAGACCGTGAGGGAGCGCTGGGAAGCGGGAAAAGCGAGAACGCCAAAATCCAAAACACTCGGAAAACGAGCGAATCTCGCCTTCCAGGGCCCTCTTGGGGAGCCTCTTAAGTCCGTCCTGGAGCTTGTTGGAGTTCTCGTTGGCTGTCTTGAAGGCATCTTGG